TGTGTGGTGTGTGTGTGTGTGTGTGTGTGTGTGTGTGTGGTGTGTGTGTGTGGTGTGTGTGTGTGTGTGTGTGTGTGTGTTGTGTGTGGTGTGTGGTGTGTGTGTGTGTGTGTGTGTGTGTGTGTGTGTGTGTGTGTGTTTGTGTGTGTGTGATATAACCGATTCTTTAATGTTCTTGTAACAAAAACAATTGAAACTGACTGTCCACGGACTCGGGGGACGAGGATCACACAAATGGGACGTCCCTCTTCACTGCGACGTCCACGCCAGAGGCAGTCCGGACCGCGTCCTGTCGTTCCTAGAGCCAACCGCGTCCTAGGAGAAACTCGGGACTCCTCCGCTGCTTTCCTTTCTTTTTTGTGTCTCTTTACAGTACCCTCTCCCTTGCTAACCTTTGTAATGTATCGTTTTGGGCCATAGGTCGTACTCAGTTTGTTATCGATAGTTGGTGTACGTCCCGACACCTCGCACCCTCCTTTCCCTCCTTTCCTGACTACTTTCCTTCTCTACGACGTCGTACCTTTCTCTTAATTTTGTCGAATTCTCACCAGAATTCAACGGTCTTTCACGTCTAGTGAAATAACCAAACGAATCTATACTTTTGTTCTTACCTCCACCCACCTCTCACTGGCTTCGGTTCCTTGTCTTTGACCCTCACCTCGGGTGTCGGAATTTCGCCCAGAAGTTTACATACATGTGTTTTGATGCTCTTAGGACAAAATTATAACCTGTTCTACCCCTACTACCGCTCGTGTGGTTTCCCGGCGTTGCCTCGTCTTGTGTCGATAAACCTACCTCTTTTGTAATTTAGAATTTATAAGTAGGAATTAATAGAAAATTTTATATATATATAGTAGGTTCAATGAAATAAAATCAAACGAAAGAGACGACAAACGTAAAGTGTAACATTCTTTACCTTAGACATGACCTTCGAAGGGAGATCATATTTTTGTCGTTTTAGTATCATCTGCTTGACACCCCTTCAATTCTTCTTTCACACAGGCCTAGATTATTAGATTGGAACTGTCTTTTTTTTTGTTGAGAATTAAGGTTAAGGTGTAAATACCACGATACAAAGCAACACTAACTTTGATGAAGTAACAGCACTCGAAACCCAGAAGGTAGTACTTGGAGGAAAGGGGAGGGTGATGACGACGGCTTTTGTTGCAAACAAATAAATAACAGGCTCCGCTCTCTCCTGAGGAGATGGACCGTCGAACTGCCGCTACTGTGTGTCTCCACTCCAAGAAATAGGTCGAGGAAAGTCGTAACTAGGTCGAAGGAAGTCTCCAGTCCAACTTGTGCGGACCTCTGCTTTTGTGTCTTTCTGAGCCTAGTCTTCCGTAGCACTAACGACCTAACTAACAGACATTTCATAGTGCCCTCGATCACCGTCACCGCACCGTAACAAAGTTCCTCTTTATTGGGCAATGTAAACTTTCGTCTAGGTCTAAATAGGCATACAGAGAAATTCACCCGAAAGATCCAAACCCCCTAAAGTGAAACTACCTACTAACGTATGTTGTCTCGAAGCGACCCTCAGTGATGTGTAAAGTTTCGCGCGACAGTTTAGTCGAAGCAGAAAAGAGAGGTCACTCGGTAGCTTATATTCTTGTTTACTTTCCTTTTCCCTGTGAACTTCTTCCGAAGATCACCGTCGATACTTCCAACACAAAAAAATCTTATCTTGTTAGACAATTCCGGTCTGTCCTGACCTTTACAAATCGATAATTACATTGCAGTTAACTTTACTTCTGTTGGTCGTAATTACTACGGACACACGTGCTATGTTTACAGTAAAAAATCTCACTTCATAAACGAGGAATAATCTCTTTCCGTTCGACTTTTCACTATAGTATGACATTATAATAATAACAAATTGCATTTCTTGACGGGAGAGAAAGAGAGAGAGAGAGAGAGAGAGAAGGGGGGGGCTTCCGCAAAATCTCTGTGTTTCATTTGGCGGAACTTTTATCTTGGCACGTCCCCAAGTTTTACCTTTTGGTTCTGCTTGTATGTCTGTCTCATAATACACTGTCCTACTCTTACGTTCCTTTTCCCCTTTCTGTCTGCCGACTGTTCTTGCGTCTGTCTTTTCTCTCCCCTTTTAATGTTTATGTTTCTCCTCCTTTCTCTGTCCACTTATGTCTTCCTCCTTTTAGTCCGTCAGTTCTGGCTACTTTTCTTCTTCCGCCCCCCGTTCCTCTGTTGCTATTAACTCGTTGTATAGTTGAATCTCGAAAACTCTCTCTCTCTTCTCGACTTCGTCTCTTTGCGTGTTTATCTTTACAGAGTCGGTCTATAGTCTTTTATCAAAGCTCCTGTCTGATAAAAGTAAAATTTACTCTTCTCCTTTCCTCTCGTCTCTATCTATGGGGAGAGGTTTTGGGAGTAAAGGAATACTAGCTAGTTGAACACACAGCGTGTACTGTCCACTGCCTCAGTATATTGTGACCTTCACTCAAAAGTCGTTAAAATGGGTGATTTCCCAAGGGAGCAGAGTCTCGGGTTACCCTAGAAGAGGTATCCTAAAACCTTGTTTATAGACCTTTATTTCCAGACACCAAACTGTGTGTAGTCTCTGGCTACGTTGCAAACAAAGATGCTGTAATTTTAATGTAGTCGTCACTGGGGTTGACGCACTGAAAACTTCTCAAGTTGGCACAGACCTTTTCGCTAACCAAAACAATTGTTCGACCGACTTATCCTTGATGTCTTCAACAAGCTCCGCAACATTGCTAGTAATGCGGCTTGTGCATTTGTGAGGGCGATTTCAAATAACGGGGACAAGACGAAAATTTTCGTTCATGGGTACGGAGGACGTTTGACAAGTTCGCCTGTTGCGAAAGTTGACCATATTGGCTAGAAATCTTTAGTCATAAAAAAATTTATACCTAGGCAATTCCAACCGCACTGCCACTCCCAGCCCGCTGCTGGGGACGGAACATCAAGGAAAATATCGTATTGCAGTTAATTAAAACGAAGACCGCTAAAATTCTAAAATACTAAGTTTTACATATTTTCATTCCCATCCGTACACCAATAATAGGCCGACTTGGTTTTGCACGTAAATCAGTTGTTCCCAAGCAAAAAAGGTTGTCTTTGAAATAAAGCTCGATAAAAGGATTTTTAGGATACCTCTTTTAGGGGTAAACGAAAAAACAGCTCCCTATGGCGGCACGCGTCGAAATTGAAGGCCCATTTATTGACAGTTAGGGGCGTGCGTGAGATAAGTTTAACCATTTTATTTTTGTGTCTTTTGTATTGGTTATCGAGTTGTTACATCCGGGTTCATTACCTTTTTAATTAGCTTTTCTGTGTGTGTGTGTGTGTGTGTGTGTGTGTGTGTGTGTGTGTGTGTGTGTGTGTGTGTGTGTGTGTGTGTGTGTGTGTGTGTGTGTGTGTGTGTGTGTGACCCTCTTATGGTGCATTTATACATAGAGGGACAGTGTAAATAAAAGGCAAAACAATAGACTTAGTAAGAGGCAGGAATCAAATAAGTAGCAGTTATGTAATAATAATTGAACATATACAACTTGTTGCTTACAATTTCATGAACAATGTTTTCCTTGTTGCTACATGTAATACACATTAGACCTGTTCATGCATCAACACTCGTACAGCGTTTACATCCTGCCATGCATTCAGGCCGAGCACGACTAATCCCAGCAGAGTTTCTTCTGCTCTAAATCATCCTCTCCAGTTTCCATGTGTCTAAATGCTGCTGAAAGGTCAGCGAGTTTCTCTCTGTGGATCTTAGCGCGTGCACTGAGCCAGACATTATACATTCAACTCCCTACACTGCGGAGAGGAAGCCTATTAAAACGGAGCGGCGGAGTGATTTCATGGCTTTGAACATAGGTTCAGAAGTGGCTTTTGTTCCTTTCTATAGTGCAGATCCTTAATGAAGGGTTATGTCATAGTGAGGATGTGACTAAGTGGCTCGACACCTCAGCATGCCGGAGACAGGTCTGCGGGTGTCGAGGTCTTACGCAACCAATCGGCCTGATTGTCACGACCTGGGAAACAAACTCATCGCTGTATCAGTCTGGCTCTGAACTTGTGTGTATTTGTACTCCGCAGTACCCACACTTCCTGAAGAGGGACGCCAACAAGCTTCAGATCATGCTGCAGAGACGGAAGAGATACAAGAACCGAACGATGCTGGGTTACAAGACCCTCGCTCTGGGTCTCATCAACATGGCCGAGGTACTACCACCCACTCAGCTCTTAATGTATCGCACAAGTGATTTGTGATGTGTCTACATTTAAATGTTTTTCCTTTGATTCTCAAATGTTTTCTGTCTTTAGTTTGTATCCCACTATTTTGCATTTATAACATTTAATATGATCAAATAGGCTGATAGGCTAAGGGGCGGGACATCTGTTAGCGGTTGACCAATCACAACACAGCCAGCCAGCTAACCAATCAGAGCAGACTGGACTCTGGTTTCAGACAGAGGGTGGAAAGAGGTGCTGCAGCACAGGCAGTATGAGAACAATAAAGAGCTTTTTGAACATTAAAGTATGGAGACATGTCACAGTAGAGACACAACATACAGCTGAAAATGAGCACATTATGTCGTATCGTGGCATTTTAGTGTGTCTTCAGCAGCTCCACAGCAGCAGATGGAGGTTAAGCTGCGAGTTGTCGAGTCAGCGGAGTGTCGTCCTCTTCTCGTCCCAACTGATCTGAGCTGTTGACCCAACAAAACACCGGTCAAAGCCTCATTTCCCTAAACATGCAGCCTCTGCCTTCTGCTGCAGTACAATCTCCGTTGAACTGATCTCATTAACCGTCGTCACGGTGATTTCTGACCTGATATCAACCAGAGGAATCTTCTCTCATTCAGGGACTTTTATTAGCACATACTTAGCTTTAACCTTCGTTTACCCTTCATCCAAACTCAATTTCAGCTAGTGCACTTTAAACTAAAACTCGGATTTCAATCTTTGGCCTTGCGTTCTTTTTCCGGCACGCCATAAATGTCGCCATAAATCAAAGTCTGTGGCCCTCGTCTGCCAAAAAGCTCCTCGCGATTCTCAGTCTCCCACATCAAGAACGTTTCCTCGACGGCTTCTGATTTATGGTGTGTGTCTGTACATGTGGATGTTTCGTTGAAGGTCAGGATTATTTACAGTGTGAAACACCAGAAAAGTACATAAATACAGATTTAATGAGCAGTCTTTTATCAAGAGCAAATTAACCCAGATTCACCCAATAGGATGCGAGTACATGGATCAGAGAATAGATCTTGTGAACTCAAAACTTTAAGAAAAGTATTTTTATTTCCAGCAGAGTATGTGGCTCCAGCCTTTGGCCTGCTGCTGCCTCTGCATACAAAACAACAGTCACTTTTTATTCATGAAGCTATTCCAGCAGACAGGTTGTGCTTTGGAGAGGGCAAAGGACACGAACGACGACTCGTACGCATGATGGGTTCAAACTCATTTTCTTCACAGGCGCAGTAAAAGCCTGAACTCTGCCCCGAGCTCGGAGCGGGTCAGACAAATAAAAAGCTATAGGGGACTCACTCAGGTTTTCAGTTCTATCAGAAGTCACGAAGAAATGTCGTTTTCATTGACAGCAGGGAGTGTGAAGAAAACTTCTAAACTACTATAGCAATACTTTTACTATAAACTCAAACTTGTACGAGGTATAGGTTTGTCAAAATAAAAACAGAAGTAGAACTCATAGAACAATTTCACACTGAATTTGCCTTCATTTCCCATAATTCACTCTGTTGTCAGTCTGTAACCGGTTACAGGTTTCCAGTATCAATTGATGAAGTACAATTTCTTGATGAATCATTTTGGTCTATGTTTCTTCAAAAAGTTATACAATCTGAGTTTCATGATGCTGAAAAATCATATTAAATTTGCCCAAGATAAACATTGTTTACTTTGCAATAATTTCCCATAGTCTTTAGTTGCCAGAAAAACATTCGCTGCTCCCTTTCCACAAAAATACATCAATAACTGCTTACGGAGACGTATTATGAATGTTGTTCTTGATTATGCAACGTCTTGTAATCTCAGACTTTTTTCCATTTACTTAGCATTTGCACTACTTCAGCTCGCACAAATATTGTTTTGCCTTTACTTCCACTTGAAACACACAATGCTGAGCAGTAATGTGATTATCTACCTTATAAAAGCATGCTTTTAGAGAGCATTCACTGCATGGTTTCAAGCATAATGCGTTATAAGTTTAAAAGATGAACCTGCAGGTAATTTAGTCTCGCCGTTTGGAAAATGTACAATTCAATTAATCATAATAAAACATGTATTTTCCATTTTGTTTTGGTCACCTGTCAGATTTTCAGATTTGCATAAAAGCCTTTTCCTGGGTTAAAATCATGGATGTATAATAAATGTTCAAATATGCAGCTAGGAAGCTTTTTTAGAGCTAGCATTAGCATTGAAGCAGGTTAGCAGTAATGTCTCTGTAATGTGTGGCTCAGGCTGTCTTCATAATAAGCCGCTCAGACTTCATTAACTCAGCGAGTGTGACCAGACTGCTGACAGAGGCTGGGTGTCACTCAGTTATATACACAACACACACTCCATTATGTCCCCACAAGGGAGGCGAGTCCCCACACGTGACTGTGTAAACAGATTTAGGTCCCCACAAGTACACACACACACACACACATACACACACACACACACTCGCAGTTGGTGAGAGAAAGTAAGAGAGGGAGAGAAATAAACAATATCGGGGCCTAAAACGACTTTTGTATGCGTCACATCATGTTCAACATTCCCTGGTTTTGTTAATCCCATCTGCTGGTTTGTTTATCTCCTGCAGCCCATGTTCCCTTTATCTTTTCTCTTCTCAACACCTGCTTCACTGCCCTGTCTCATTTCTTCTCCTTCTG